TTTTCACACCTATTAACATGTTAATGTGTTAGTGTGCCTGACGATGGTCAACTTACCCTTAATTTGAAAAATCATCAACGAAATATATGTTATTTTTAATTAAAATAAATTTCATCGGTAATTTTTTTTAATTCTTTTTTTATTTTTTTAATTTGAAAATTCACATACGAAATATATTTTATTGTTAACTAAAATAAATTTCATCAGTAATCTTTTTTTAAATGTAACTATATAAGTATTTTTTTTTGGTATATATATTTTATTTTATAGATGTAAGTATTTTTTTTTGGTTTAAAAATGTCTAAGAACTTAATCATTCATAATATGAAAGTCCATTGGTTTTTTTATGAACTTTTTCCATTATTTTACAACATTAACCAATTGTATAGGTCATAAAGATAATTATAACAAGCTTTAAAAAATCCAAGAAATTATTTAACATGTTTTGAAATATCCATATACTTATTTGTTATAAAAAAATTATTCAATAACTTAATTATTCTAAATTCATTGAGTTTTTTTCAGAAATTTTCAATTTTAAGTATATTTGTGCAAACTTTGGACACGACATTATGATGTCAGTTTCCCACCCCTTCAGCTTCAGCTACCACACAAAAAGCCCAAAGTTTACTGGAATGGTTTGGATACATTAAAATTTGAAATCCATCCTTGCTATTTTTTAATATATAATATTTATATACGATAAATACAATAAATAAATTCACATACCTCCTTCATCATTGGTGAGCTTTGAATCTCTGACCCCCTAGAAGATCAAAGACTACAATACCGATAGACCAAATGCCATTTGATAAATTGAATCTTATGTTTGTTTTAAAAAATTTCTTGGATTTTAATCCCTCAAATGATAGCATTTTAAAATCCCACAAGAATGGTTAGTAATTCATAAGATTTCTATATAATAATGTTTTAAAATATGTTAAAAACAATTTGTCTTTTAATAATCGGTTAATAAAAAGCTAATTTAATTATTTCTATAATTATTTATAATTCATTTTTATAACTTATTTATAAAAAAATGGAATTTTTAATTTCACCGGGTCCATATCCGAGACAGCGGGGCAGTCGTTACACCATTCGTGCAGGTCGCTACTTATGCGACAAGGAATTATGCTACCTTAGGACAGTTAGAGTTACTATCACCGTTTACCGGGGCTTCCATTAAATAACAATTAAGGTGATGCAGGCAGGGTCAGGAACGACGAATCTCTTTAAAAATCCATTCTAGATCCTATAAAACCAAACACACAAAATGCTCTAAATACTTGCACGAAATCCAGATCCCTCGAGAATATTTCAAAACAAAATATATCATAAGTACCCTAATCAATATCCTATAATGGAACAAACAACAACGGAGAAGATACAAGACAACTAGGAAGGTGCGCCATATTCATCGACATTCAAAGGCTTGGATCCAGTAAATGCTCGTAAAGATAGGCCCTAAAGGATATGATGTATGCAGACTTTGCCCCTGCTATGAAGGATAAACATGCTTCCGTAAAGATGATGATAAGTATATAAATTGGCTAAGCATAGATGCAACCGAAGTTTCAACTCGTATCTACGTTCCAACAATCCCACATGCCGACGGGTCTTCACAAGTTTTTGATTAGGAACTTATCAGATGTTTGTAGGAGCTACAAAAAACCTATACATCAAGTAAACATCACCTCGGGTTTTTCTTTCTTTTGGTAACTGTGGGTGTTCGTGCCAGCTTGTGCATACTTCAACTAATCCTATTATAACCCCTGAAGATAACAATCTGGAAAATCTCCAGTGGCTTTGAAGAGACTAGAACAAGCCACCTACAAGGAGGAGACACAAAACTTGGTCTTTATTTGTTAATCGAGCAGACCCTCAAGGTTTTATGCGCAGGGTTAGAATTAAAGAAGGCATGTAAACGTACCATTGACACGATAAAACAAGTCCCTGCCATAAACCTAGATTCTACTCGCGCTTGATTATAAACCAACCAACAGCGAAAATTACAAAGATACAGGAAACAGCAGCAGTCTTGTGGGATATCTGCACACATCTTACCCCCATGCCCTACTTTTGGATGCAATATACTGGGCAGGTTTGCTTTTTGGAGATCGATGAAGGTTGATGATGGTTTGTGGTTGATCAAAACGGCTATGGAAGTCGGTCAGCAATGGTCGATGGTGAAGCCTGATGCGCAACCAATGGGATTGATGATTAATACACAATCCCCAAGGTTGCATTTGGTAGAGAGGACAGGAAAGTACAAGAACAGATCGTCCCACATGACAAGACGTGAGTGGGACAAAAATGCATCTTTTTTTTGTCCCATCAAAATAGGTGGAAAAAGATGAGGGTGATGGACAATATTGGTATATTACTAAACTACCCATCTAATTTTAAAATCTTAAAACCCTCCAGAATTCTTTCAACCACATACCTCAATCTCGATTGTTTAGTCCTGTCCCATCCAGTCCAAGTACCAAATGCACCCTAAGGGACTATGTTAAAGAATCACAGAAAGGACATTATTGGTTATTCTTGACCTCAAGACTGATACCAATCAGCAAACTTTGGGCACAAAATTTACAAGCTTGATTAAAACCCTTATCAAAAAGATCATGTTGACCCTATCTCTTATCTAAAACACAACTTTCAGCAGTCGAACCAAAAGCTATTCAAAACAACATGTTGAAAGTTCAAACTACTTACATTAACATATATGGACTTTGCTTGTTAGTTGTTGCATCTGGCCTTCAGTCCACATATTGCAGCATACAGTTTCCTTCGAGGCCCGACAGCAAGAACGCCCATCTCTTTCAGATCATCAAAAGTAAGCAAAGGCAACACTTCTTCATCGACCTCGTGCATTTCAAACACACCTGCATATCTACCAAACCCCACATCTTCCAACCATCTACCAACACTATTTACACCTACATCATTATACCTACCACTGGATTCCGAAATGAGATCATTGTTTTCAAAATTACCACCCTTCTGGATCTTGAAAGTGGGTTCATTGACATCATTCCCAAAAGTTCTTTTGCTCATAGCAGACCCTTGATTATCAGTTGAGCCATAAAGATCCGCAGAAAGGGCCTTGAACTTCCATGGACCTTCAAAAACAGTTCGCTTGCATCTTTTGCTCCGTGGCCCTTTTATGCACTTCTGGGTCGTTTTAGGTTCACTCATTTCCATCTCATTATTTGTGCCATATCCAGAGGGGGCTTTCATGGAGTTGGGATCATCATTCTCTCTGTTGTGCTGCGTATCGACCACAAACTTTAAGGATAAATCAGGATCAGAAACTGTAAACTCGGATGATGGTTGCTCAGGGAACACAGCAATTTGATCGTTTTGTGGTTCTTCGAGTATGTTAAAATCATACAACCATAAGTTGTTCATCATCATGTCAGAAATCCCATAATTAAAAGCAGCAGATACATCTCCGATTTCTCCTAATCTTACATTCGGCCATCTTTGTCCCTTTGATTCCATATGTGACACCAACATTATCCCCGAATTTTTAAAATTGAGTGCTCAGAAAACCCTAAATTTGGAGAAATTAAGTAATAGCATAATCAGAACAGCAACATTAGAAATTGCGCAAAAAATACCCAAAACCGAGAGAATATAAGAGATTATAATACGCATCCAGAAACAAGCGAAAATCAAAGCAACGAATACCCAAAAAATCAATATAAGTAGTAACACATAAACGATAACAATATGAAGAAGAACCCTAAATTCACAGAATACCCAAAAGGATATCCTGATATAAAGCAAGAGCGTGCCTAAATTCGAAGAAATTTCTCTTTAAGCAATTAGATGCAATTATATATCAGCAGCATACGCACCACAGAAAACAAGAACGAGCTCAATCCATACTGTTTTACAAGAAATAAGCCCCAAAATCAACACAGATTTTGATGCAAAAACAAAACCCATGTCCAAATTGAAGTAATAAATCAAGAAAAGCCGATGAACAACTACAATTTAAGGTAAGAACATACCTTTTAGGGGGGCGATGCAGTTTTGAGAGTGAATTGGATAAGCGTAACAGGTTTTTTAATCAAAGAAAGCAAAAGGGTGTATTCAAGCGTAAGGAAGTAAGCTGATTAGGGATTTGAGGTAAACACAAGAAGGATGGTTTACAGAGGTTCGGGGGTTCTACATGTGGATGCAGATATCTTCCATGGAGTCCCAGTCAATGTGACGTCAACGGGGATTGGGGTCTAAAAAAAAAGAGAAATTGCATTTTCTGGGAATTTGAAGAAGTTGTGCGCTAGGATTTGGGATTGGCCCAGGGGAGATAAGAAAGTCATTTATATGGTAGATTTTCTTGATATCTTTTAAGGACTTCCAAGATCTATGATGGGATCATGAAGCATCAAGAAGTTTCTTGATCCTTCTATGGTAAAAAAAAAAATTAGGTAAAATATTAGGGGTCGTTTACCAAATGTTTATTCGAGTAAGTGTTTATCAAGTCACGTTACCTGATCGAATGAATATGATAAGGACCAATAATTCTACACCGATAAGAGCGAGACAAAGACCAAGAGTCTTACTCGGTAAGTGATGTCGAAGACTCTTATTACGGTAAGCACTTATCAGGTAAATTATTGCATACAATATCCTTTAGTTGGACTAAAATCTTACCGGGTAGGTAACTGATAGTGTTAAATTTTACTGATAAGCGCTTACTGGGTAGGTGTTTGGTAAACAGCCCCTTTTTGTTACATATTTTCTTGAAAGCATATCAAGAATGATAATATGTAAAACATTTAGGTCCGTTTACCAAACTCTTACCCGGTAAGCGTTTACCGGTAAAATTTAATACTATCAATTACTTACCGGATAAGATTTTTAGTCCACCAAAACGGTATCGTATGCAACAATTTACCCCGTAAGCATTTACTGTGGTAAGAGTCGTCGCCCTCTCTTACCGGGTAAGACTCTTTATAAATATTTTTATCTGTTAAAAGTTCAATCCATATATCTCAATTCGTGCTCATCCCTTTTGTGGTTCTTCCACATACGTATTTATGCACACTACGCAACAAATAGGTTGCTTATAATTAAGGTCTATAATATTGACTTTTCAGATAGTACATACTTTGATTGGTAGAGTAAAGCCATGATGAGTGCTTAAAAAGCATGCATGGCAAGTATAGATTGAAGTAGGCGATAAAGTAACGAGGTAGCAAGTAGTAAACCGGTAAAACTAGAAACCGAAAATATAAAAGTCACATGCAAAAGAGTAATTACACCTAAGAATTCTTGAAATGGTTCTAACAGTGTCGTCTCAAATCCACCATGCTACTTGGATATCCACACTATGCAGTATGCACATTTGTCTGTATGTAGTTGAACTAAACTCTCCACGGGCTGATATCAACCAGGATACTCATATAATCACAGGGAAACGACTCGACTGAACGTTTGTCTGTATATAGGCAAATCTTGGTTGCTTATGTTGAGACCATATATCACCTAATTGGAGAAGTTTAATGTTGGATTAGTTGTTGAGATAATCAATGGGCTCATTGTATTCGTTGCAGTTTTCATTTGAATAATCCAAACACTTTTACGTTGAAAATAGTTTTCAATGACAAGAATGAATAAGAATCGGGAGAAAGTGTTAAAAGGGTAAAATTCAACCATGACAAGTCTTTTGTCGTAATTGCAGGTGGTGTTCCAATCAATGAGGGTCCACGAAGATGGTTGTCGTTTGGGATAACTTTGTATGTATGCATGAACAGGAGCAGAGGAAGTAAATTTATATAAGAGAGGTTAAAAATTGTGCAAGGAAAAATTATTCTCTAACAATCTCTCAAGCTTACATTACAGTTTGTGATTTCGATTTCGATAAAATTTTGTTTCGAGATTATTTCGTTCCAGTATCCAATATCTTATTAAAAATTTGGCCTTATACAATTGTGGTTCTCACTTCCGTGGTTCTTAATTCAGGCCTTTCCTTCCCGAATTTGCTGTAGAAATAATTACTGATCATAACCGAAAATCCCCGGTTGGGCAACTTTGTCAAATTGAAAAAGATACGTGCAATAAGTAAATTCCATGTTGAAACGACATATGAAAAAGTTTTATGTGGCAAGGAAGATCATGGATTCAATTCGAACACGAATTGGCCCGACCAAATGACTTGAACTTATGTTGGCAAACTAATTAGACTGATTCAAGCGAAGTGGGTGACCTAATTGAGGTTGCCATTCAGTCACTTTGATAACCCTAGAATTATGAGGTGGATCCAATAATCTCTAACCAAGATACTGAGTTGTAAATTGTTAAACCCTTAAAACATCATGCATTTAGATTATAGAAAACTAGTGTGGGAACCGCGCGTTGCACGGTAGCATGAGTACTTTGGTTAATGATTCGAAGATTGTCTATATAAATATATGTTAGTTGTTAATAGAATCATCAACAAATCATATTCAAATAATTCGAAAAAGTTAGTAAAATCTAATTAGTGAAATTTTAATATATACACACACACACACACACACACATATATATATATATATAGAGAGAGAGAGAGAGAGAGAGAGAGAGAGAGATTTGTTTAGAAATAAAGTTGTAATAGTAGTTGGAAATAATTGAGTGTAAATTACAACTGATATATATTTATTCTCTACCTTAATACTCGTTGTAGACATGGTTGATAAAAAGATTAAAAGATAAATTTTATACATGTTTAGACTAAAAGTTAGTCTGATATCTATTGGGCATAGAATGAGGTATCATCATGCATCCATCAAGTAGAATTGACTTCTAAGGTTTTATTGTTGTATGGGCTCAAAGTGGGCTTCTGAAACTACTTAACGGTTGTTGTCTGACATTATTTCACTACTTCTTTCGTTGCAACTTTTTGCTACGTAAAAAACTCAAAAAAGAGGAGCAAACATTGATTAAAAAACAGTTTATATGTTATAATAAAATGATCTCAAACTATAAGTATTGATGAGACACATACTTTTTGACGAACTAAGTTAAATTGATATCATTTAGATGATCTACTGGTATGTACAATGTTGTTCATCTACTTGTAGATGACGGAAAAACTAACATCCATGGCAAATATAAGTGAGCATCTCCCTATCAATGCGTAAGACACTCCTTACAAAAATAATAGAGAGTAAGATTAAGAATTAAAAACATTAGAAAATAATTTTCTAGCCCAATGCTAAAAAAAGGAAAAAAGCGCAATAAATCGATCAACATCGATATCTTGAAAACCATATGAAAGATTACCGATCTGAAAAAAAAAAAAAATCATAACCCATCTTTCTTGATACACTCTTCTAACATCAATGCAAAATTATTCTAACATAACGTTTACCAAGTTCATGGATAAACAAACCAAAAGATACTTATTTTTTTTATGATCTACATATGCTTAAAAAATGTTATCTTATTTCATCAAGGATTCATATGTCACTTTATCCACACACAAAAAAAGGATTCATATGATTGTATAACTCCAATTTTAGTGTGAAAGTCTCCAATTAAATGACGAAATTAAATACTATACTTACTTCAACAAAAACACATATCATGTTTGTTTTTTTGAATGATATCTCAAATCAACAAAAATGCAAATCACCTCCACAAAAACTGAATAGGGAGGAGGAATTGAAAGATTAAGATAGATCATGATGCTTAAAAATGTAATTTCATCAAAGGATTCATATGTGTTTATCTAGACAAAAAAAAATTTATATGCCTACATAATTCCAACTTTAGTGTGACATTGACCAATGATCACCCATGACTTCTGTGTACCTTCGACTAAAAGAAGAATACTATATTTATATAAGTAAAAACTCATACCATGATTTGTTTTATTGAATGACGCCTCAAATCAACAAAAATGCAAATCGTCTCCACAAAATTATAACTGAATAGAGATGAATTGAGAGATTAATAGAGAGATTATCATAGAGGTGTGCCATGAAGAAAAGATGAAAAATTATAATCGAATAGAGAGGAATAATGAGAGTTAAAAGAACATTTATTAGAGAGAACATGAGTAGGTTGATGTAACCTAATTATAGGATCTTATATGTGAATATCAAAAAGATCAAAAACAATCATCAAAAACAATCTTAAGACCCTATGAGTCGATTAAAACCCCAGATTCTTACTAGAACAACGATGATTCAATAAAAATACTAAGTTAAGCCCAAATATTTCCTGAGTAAGAACCATCGGATCATTATATACTCGACGAATAGATGATGACCAAAAATCCAAAGGAAGAAAGCCTTCGACAAGTTCCATGGAAATGCTCTCTATATTTCTCTCTTATATATATATATATATATATATATATATATATATATATATATATATATATATATATATATTAGATTTGATCCCGTATATTACATGGGGTATTTTGAAAAAACTAAATCATGTCAGGAACTTATCTTACAAATATGAATGATCACCGAAAGTACGATGCTACTTCAAACTTTTATTTTTGAATAACTCTGAATAATTGAATTTAGAAATGAAACTATATCAATAATTAGTTAAAATGAAGTTAACCCTAGAATAAAATTAAATTTAAAAATAAAACTATATCAGTAAATTGAATTTAAACTTAGAAGTAAATTTAGAACGACTCTTCAGACTTGTATTCTTGAAATAACTTTGAAGAATGACTTTAGACTTGGACTTGTACTCTTGAAATAACTCTGAAGAAAAACTTTTCAGACTTCAGAGCTTTGTATAGTCAAATCCCCTACAAATCCGTCAATGGATTTTTTTTTAAAATAATATTTTATTTCTACAACTTTCCCAACGGTTTTCGACGGATTTGTAACGGTTTTTTTTACTTATTTAATATTGTCACAAATCCGTCGGAAATCCGTCACAAAATTGATCTACTTTATTGAAATAAACTAATTAGTGTTAATTAATTAAAATTTCCGACGGATTTTGATTGATTCTTTTATTTAATTATACTCCGTCGGAAATGTTTAAGAAAACTTTTTTTGTTCTTTTCCCTTCCAAAAAAATATGTTTAAAAAAATATTTCCAACGGATTGTAATTTTCTAATAAATAATTATATTTCGTCGGAATTTATTTAAAAAAATATATCTTTATAAGAAAAAATAAAAAACTTTTTTTAATAAGTTACAACGGATTTCCGAAGGAATATAACTCTTTTGTGTCGAAATATACCTTTTTATTATAAAAATTATTATCGGTCGAAATTTTGAACTTTTTAAATATATAT